CTCACTAGTCATGACTGTTGAAGTACTTGGTGTACTTTCAGCCATCCCCAGTGTCCCTTATTGGGTATGCCCAATTATGTGGCAGGACTGTGATTGGCTGTAACAGTGGTCACATGATTGGGAGCCGTTCCCGCTGGCTCTCGATCATTAGGGTAGGGGCGCAGAAAGGTCTTGACAGCTCGGTCTCTGGCGGGAGCACATAGAAGCCTCTGCCACCCATAGGCACATATGAGTGATGTGGGCGGCAAGAGGTCAAATACAGGATATTCAACTGCTTTCCTGCCGCCCTGTAGCAGATATACTGGTACAGGGCTGCATAGGTGTGTATGTATGTATGTAAGTATGTATGTGCGATTTTGCTTCTCCAGGTAGCTATTCTCTGGCCTCTGCTGTCAATCGTGGCATGGTTGTTGGTGCCAGACTGAGTATTTCAAAAACTGCTGATCTCCTGGGATTTTGACAATTGCACAACCATCTCTAGGGTTTACAGAGAATGGTCCGAAAAAGAGAAAATATCCAGTTTGTGGCAGTTGTGTGGAGGAAAATGCTTTGTTGATGTCAGAGGAGAATGGGCAGACTGGTTGCTGCGACATTCAGATGGTAGGGTCAGAATTTGGCATTACCAACATGGAAGCATGGATCCATCCTGCCTTGTATCAATGGTTCAGGCTGGTAGTGGTGGTGTCATGGTGTGGGGGATCCATTCTGCCTTGTATCAATGGTTCAGGCTGGTGGTGGTGGTGTAATGGTGTGGTGGATCCATCCTGCCTTGTATCAATGGTTCAGGCTGGTGGTGGTAGTGTCATGGTGTGGTGGATCCATCCTGCCTTGTATCAATGGTTCAGGCTGGTGATGGTGGTGTCATGGTGTGGGGGATCCATCCTGCCTTGTATCAATGGTTCAGGCTGGTAGTGGTGGTGTCATGGTGTGGGGGATCCATTCTGCCTTGTATCAATGGTTCAGGCTGGTGATGGTGGTGTCATGGTGTGGTGGATCCATCCTGCCTTGTATCAATGGTTCAGGCTGGTGATGGTGGTGTCATGGTGTGGGGGATCCATCCTGCCTTGTATCAATGGTTCAGGCTGGTGATGGTGGTGTCATGGTGTGGGGGATCCATCCTGCCTTGTATCAATGGTTCAGGCTGGTGATGGTGGTGTCATGGTGTGGTGGATCCATCCTGCCTTGTATCAATGGTTCAGGCTGGTGATGGTGGTGTCATGGTGTGGGGGATCCATCCTGCCTTGTATCAATGGTTCAGGCTGGTGGTGGTGGTGTAATGGTGTGGGGATCCATTCTGCCTTGTATCAATGGTTCAGGCTGGTGGTGGTGGTGTAATGGTGTGGTGGATCCATCCTGCCTTGTATCAATGGTTCAGGCTGGTGGTGGTAGTGTCATGGTGTGGTGGATCCATCCTGCCTTGTATCAATGGTTCAGGCTGGTGATGGTGGTGTCATGGTGTGGGGGATCCATCCTGCCTTGTATCAATGGTTCAGGCTGGTAGTGGTGGTGTCATGGTGTGGGGGATCCATTCTGCCTTGTATCAATGGTTCAGGCTGGTGATGGTGGTGTCATGGTGTGGTGGATCCATCCTGCCTTGTATCAATGGTTCAGGCTGGTGATGGTGGGTGTCATGGTGTGGGGGATCCATCCTGCCTTGTATCAATGGTTCAGGCTGGTGATGGTGGTGTCATGGTGTGGGGGATCCATCCTGCCTTGTATCAATGGTTCAGGCTGGTGGTGGTGGTGTAATGGTGTGGGGGATCCATTCTGCCTTGTATCAATGGTTCAGGCTGGTGGTGGTGGTGTCATGGTGTGGGGGATCCATTCTGCCTTGTATCAATGGTTCAGGCTGGTAGTGGTGGTGGTGTCATGGTGTGGTGGATCCATCCTGCCTGGTATCAGTGGTTCAGGCTGGTGGTGGTGGTGTCATGGTGTGGTGGATCCATCCTGCCTTGTATGAATGGTTCAGGCTGGTAGTGGTGGTGGTGTCATGGTGTGGTGGATCCATCCTGCCTTGTATCAATGATTCAGGCTGGTAGTGGTGGTGGTGTAATGGTGTGGTGGATCCATCCTGCCTTGTATCAATGGTTCAGGCTGGTGGTGGTGGTGTAATGGTGTGTTGGATCCATCCTGCCTTGTATCAATGGTTCAGGCTGGTGGTGGTGGTGTCATGGTGTGGGGGATCCATTCTGCCTTGTATGAATGGTTCAGGCTGGTGGTGGGGGTGTCATGGTGTGGGGGATCCATTCTGACTTGTATGAATGGTTCAGGCTGGTGGTGGTGGTGTCATGGTGTGGTGGATCCTTCCTGCCTTGTATCAATGGTTCAGGCTGGTAGTGGTGGTGGTGTCATGGTGTGGTGGATCCATCCTGCCTTGTATCAATGGTTCAGGCTGGTGGTGGTGGGGATGTCATGGTGTGGTGGATCCATCCTGCCTTGTATCAATGGTTCAGGCTGGTGGTGGGGATGTCATGGTGTGGTGGTTCCATCCTGCCTTGTATCAATGGTTCAGCTGGTGGTGGGGGTGTTATGGTGTGGGGGAGATTTTCTTGGCACCAGCAAGGTGTGCCTAATATAGTGGCCGGTGAGTGTAGATTCCAAATATGTCAAGCCTTCGTTTCAGTATCCAAATCCTGATCGTAGGCGGCGCTATAAATGCCTCTGCAGGTCATCATTTCAGAGTTAACAGTGAATAATGGCCGTGGAATTATCGCTCTCGCTGCGGGGTGTGCCGCGATACCTAAAATGTGCATCCATATTGTCATTTTTGTGTGTAGTTTCACTTGATGCTTGCATTTAGGTATGATTGGATGTGGAGGGCAGGGGTTGAGCATCTTTTTTTTTTTTTTTTTTTTTTTAATATGATGGCATAATTGACATGAACAAGTCCTCTTTAAGGAGACATCAGGGGGTCTATTAACTACTTGCCAACCGCAGATGTGTCCTACGGACACAGCTGATCACGTGATGTGGTAAAAGGACAAGCACAGCGGCCTTTTACCACGTGATCAGCCGTGTCCAATGACCCGCTGATCACCGGGAAATGCAATTGCCAGTTCTCGGCTGCACTTTCATTGCACTGTCAGAGCGCGAGGAAAGTACTGCTGAGAACCGGCAGTTGTCAGAGTAGGGATCGGCACTGATCATCAGGGCACTGATGATCGGTGCCCAGCAGTGCCACCCACCAGCTCTGCCTACCTGTGCCCCGCAGTGCCACCTACCTGTGCCCAGAAGTGCCACCCACCAGCTCCACCCACCTGTGCCCAGCAGTGCCACCCAGCAGTGCCACCTACCTGTGCCCATCAGTGTCACCCACCAGTGCCCATCAGTGCAGCCCAGCAGTGCTGCCAGTCAGTGCCACCAGTCAGTGCCAAGTGGTTGTGCCAGTCAGTACCCAGCACTTGCGCCAGTCAATGCCTAGCAGTGCCGCCAGTCTGCCCAGCAGTGATGCCAGTCAGTGCTGTCTTATCGGTACCCATCATCAGTGCCACCTATCTGTGCTGCCTATCCGTGACACCTCATTAGTGCTGCCTATCAGTGCCGCCTATCCGTGACACCTCCTTAGTGCTGCCTATCAGTGCTGCCTATCCGTGACACCTCCTTAGTGCTGCCTATCAGTGCTGCCTATCAGTGTCCATCTGTGCTGCCTATCAGTGCTGCCTCATCAACGCACATCAGTGAAGGAGAGAAAAAATTACCTGTTTGCAAAATTTTATAATAGAAACAAAGAAATTTTTTTTTCAAATTTTTGGCACTTTTTTGTTTATAGCGCAAAAAGTAAAGCGCCCAGTGGCGATTAAATACCACCAAAAGAAAGCTCTATTTGTGAGAAAAAAATTATTAAAATTTCATATGGGTACAATGTTGCATGACCGCGCAATTGTCAATCAAAGTGCAACAGCGCTGAAAGCTGAAAATTGGCCTGATAAAGAAGGGGGTGTAAGTGCCCGGTAGGCAAGTGGTTAAACCTCGAATGTAACCTCTGGACCCCGGTGACGCTTTTGGAGCACAGATTGTACTGGATCAGCATCTTCCATGGCCAACACTGCTGGGAAGTGAGAAGTCTGACAATGGAATTGGGGAAATGCTCGTCATTTCCGGCTCGGTCATTGGAGTGGCGATCAGCAAATGGTGGTTCGCTGATCTCTCTGCTCTGCCCACTGACGTTCACCTGAACCCGTGTTTCTACTGAGGCCAAACTCTTTATCATCCTACCACCAGCTGAAGTCATCTCCCTTGAATTTTGCCTTCTCTGGTCCCCCCTCCCCTCATTATTATTATTATACAGGATTTATATAGCGCCAACAGTTTGCGCAGCGCTTTCCAGCATAAAGGAGGACAGTACAGCTGCAATACAGTTCAATACAGAAGGAATAGGAGGGTCTGTCATGGAGCTTACTATCTCATCAACATGCAAATAATTTAATAGCCTTATTGCAGACTCAGTGACATGATCACTGGGTCTCTGTGCTTTTCTATGCAATGCAGACAGATGCTGGCTAATGGGAGGGGCTGGCAGGATGTTGTACATGGCTTCCTGAAACCTCGCAGCACCCGCCTCAGTATTCTCAGGAGCCCTCAGCCCCAAAACAAGCAGTGGGCTGATCCTTGGGAGGAATTACCTTGATGGGTGGGGTGTCAGTGTAGAGGAGTGGGCGTTCCTAGGCAGCATGCAAATAGTCCTGGGTTACATTCATGAGTGATGCTGAGCCTCCATGATTGAAAAAAACGAAATCCAATTAATGAAAGGGGCGGGGCCAGGGACAGTCAGCGTCTGCTGATCATGCGAATTTCTTTGTAGGAGGCACCACTGTGTGACCTCCGTACCTGAGAGCTTATCTCTCTGTGAGTTCATCCAGGTCATCAAAGGTGCTCCCGGGGGGCGAATCGCAGAGAAGACGGCAGATCACAGCCAACGGCTAATTGCAGCAAACGCCAGCATGTCATGATGTAGGATAGTCTAACCGATTGTATCTCTTCTACCCGATTCCTTATAACAGGCCCATACATGACGCCGTGGTCAACGACAACATAGAGACGGTGTGGCTGCTTCTCTCCTACGGTGCCGATCCCACGCTGGCCACCTACTCCGGACAGACTCCCATGAAGCTGGCCAGCAGTGAGGCCATGAGGACCTTCCTGGGCGGTACGTTGGGTGCTCACCATTCTCAGCTTGGACCAGGGAACACGAACTTGTCTTCTGGTCATGTGACTTAAAGTGCAACTCCACTTATAGTGCACAGGGAGGGGCCTATGCTCTAGGTATATAGTCATATACAGCTCTGGGCGTGCAGTTGTAGGACTCTCTAGGCATACAGTCATAGGCCGCTCTGGGCGTGCAGTCGTAGGACTCTCTGGGCGTGCAGTTGTAGGACTCTCTAGGCATACAGTCATAGGTCGCTTCTGGGCGTGCAGTCGTAGGCATCTCTGGGCGTGCAGTCGTAGGCCTCTCTGGGCGTGCAGTCGTAGGCCTCTCTGGGGCGCGCAGTCGTAGGCCTCTCTGGGCGAGCAGTCGTAGGCCTCTCTGGCGCGCGCAGTCGTAGGCCCTCTCTGGGCGCGCAGTCGTAGCCTCTCTGGGCGCGCAGCAGTCGTAGGCCTCTCTGGGCGCGCAGTCGTAGGCCTCTCTGGGCGCGCAGTCGTAGGCCTCTCTGGGCGCGCAGTCGTAGGACTCTCTGGGCGCGCAGTCGTAGGCCGCTCTGGGCGCGCAGTCGTAGGCCGCTCTGGGCGCGCAGTCGTAGGACTCTCTCTGGGCGCGCAGTCGTAGGCCGCTCTGGGCGCGCAGTCGTAGGCCTCTCTGGGCGCGCAGTCGTAGGACGCTCTGGGCGCGCAGTCGTAGGCCGCTCTGGGCGCGCAGTCGTAGGCCGCTCTGGGCGCGCAGTCGTAGGCCGCTCTGGGCGCGCAGTCGTAGGCCGCTCTGGGCGCGCAGTCGTAGGCCGCTCTGGGCGCGCAGTCGTAGGCCGCTCTGGGCGCGCAGTTCGTAGGACTCTCTGGCGCGCAGTCGTAGGCCTCTCTGGGCGCGCAGTCGTAGGCCTCTCTGGGCGCGCAGTCGTAGGCCCTCTCTGGGCGCGCAGCCGTAGGCCCTCTCTGGGCGCGCAGCCGTAGGCCCGCTCTGGGCGCGCAGACCGTAGGCCCGCTCTGGGCGCGCACCGTAGGCCCGCTCTGGGCGCGCAGCCGTAGGCCCGCTCTGGGCACGCAGCCGTAGGCCCGCTCTGGGCACGCAGCCGTAGGCCCGCTCGGGCACGCAGCCCTAGCAGGTTGCATAGTGGTGGCTCCTAGTTCTGAGTGAGATATGCCTCCACCTGCTGTATTCCTGTCCTAAGGTGACAACACGGCCCCCTCCATAGATACAGTACAGGGACTGAGCGTTGTCCCCCGAGGACAGGAGGTATGTTATTGGCAGGATCTGCAGGTGAAAATAATGGAGGGGAAAATCCTGAAAATAGAAAACGAATGCAGCCGTCCCGTGTTTGGACTGGTAAGGTCACCTACTCCCTGGGCGCTCCCAGCATTTCCGGGGGTATGAGTGCGGCCCCCACTCCCTGCAGCCTGTCCATCTATGAGCGGCTGATGTACGCGGCGGCTGGGCACCATTCTTTGGGGGGTTTGGGGTTCCGTGTTAGGGACGTATGGCCAGAACTCAGGATACTCGACTATGACATGTTTCAGGCGGGGGGGCTGGGGTATGGCACCTCCGGGTGCAGGAAGACGCCGACATTGGACACCCAATGTGTATGTGACCTGGGCTGCAGTGTGTTCTTGTCCTCTGGGTGTGAATAACGTTTTGAGGGTGGCATGGGGGGGGGGGGGCACTGAGCAGACACCCCGGAATCTGGATGTGTGAAGTTCTGACGTCTGCCTTTCCCTCTGTACAGATTACCTCTCCGACCTGCGAGGACGCACCGACGGCGACCCCCGGGCATCATGGGACTTCTATAGTAGCTCCATACTGGGTAAGGATAATGTTCCCTTTTCACTCTCCTGGACCGATATTATTTACTCTGATATCCCCGCACACTGTGAGCTCCTCACCATGTGCAATAGAAGCTGCAGCAAGTCAGAGCTCCGCCCCATTTCCTGGCTGGAGGACTTCCAGCATCATCTAGGTCTTGACTTCCAGCATCATCTAGGTCTTCCTCCCCAGCCTGACTGTCCCTGTCCCGCCCGTATCATTCATTGGATTTCCTTTCCTTCAGTCATGGAGACTCGGCATCACATGTGGGCGCTACCTAGGGTGGTTTGCATGCAAATGCAGCCTACCATAGAACGCCCACCTCCTCCAGACTAACCGCCACTCATCAAGGCTTTCAAGTTTTTTGTGGGGGCCAGGCTAGTGCTTGCATCAGGGCTGAGAGGCAGGGTGCTATGACTGTTTCAGGAAGCTGTGTACAGCACCCTCCCACCAGCCATGATCTGCCTACATTGCATAGGGAAGCACAGGGACCCAGTGAGTCTACAATGACGTCTTCAGGAATCTACGTGTAGGACCCTGCCTCCTCCCAAGACCCAATCCTCTAGTTGCGTAAGCGCTGAGTGCTTTTGAGAGAGGAGTACTAAGGCAGGGTACGTGGTTGTTTTCAGAAAGTTATGTACAGCACCCTGCCCTCTCGCCAAACATGATCTGCCTGCATTGCATAGAGTAGCACAGAGACCCAGTAGTGACATCACTGGGTCTAAAATTAAGGTGTATAATGAAAATGCAAAGACTTTCTTTTTAATGTGATTAGAAAGGAAGGGGGTACCAGGGAAGGCAAAGTATAAATGGTCTAAAATTCAGCTGTAATGGACATTGGGAGATGAATGTAGCCACATGCATGGCGTCCTCTTCAGCATTACACCCAGCGTCCAGCAGAGGTCGCCGTACAGACGAGGAAGGTGAACTGCGTCCATGTCATGGATGGTGGGGACAGGAGGAATCCTCTGGTCAGTGGTGTCATTTGCAGTCGCTTTTTTATTGCAGATGCGAAGGATGAAGTTTTCCACGACGTTCTCCTAGATCCATCCGAGACATCCAAGAAGGAGGAAGGGGAGAAGGACGAGGAAGACAACTTCCTGTTTGAGTTCTCGGACGCCCCGCTCATCCCCTGCTACAACCTACAGGTCTCCCTGACTGCCGGGTAAGAGGCGCTGCGTCCCTGGGTGAGGAATGGTGGGAAATGTCTCCCTCTAATGGCCCATGTGAGGAATTACACATTATTGTCAGACAACAAGGTTCACAAAAGAATGGCGTGTTCACAAATACACGCCGTGCGCTTTTATACCGAGGAGCAGATCGCTCACAGCTTAGCCTGCCTGTTGGGAATTTATAGTCTGTTTTCCTCTTTATTTATCCAAAAGATACAATTTGGATCAAAGAGTAAAACCATCTAAATATTCTATAACTTGGTTTAAACAGCTGAACTCACAATTACTTCCCAAAATTGGACAAAAGCAAATCTAGAACAAAAATCTCCGGAAAGCGGCAATAATCCCTACAGCAAGCATTGTATTATATTGTAGCTTACCAATTCTTTCTCTCCTCTCCCCCTCTCTGCTCGCTCTCCTCTCCCCCCCCCCCCCCCCCCCTCTCTCTCTCTCCTCCTCTCCCCCCTCTCTCACTCCTCTCCCCCTCTCTGCCTCTCTCCTCTCCCCCTCTCCTCCTCCCCCTCTCCTCGCCCCCCTCTCTCTCCTCTCCCCCTCTCTCTCCTCTCCCCCTTCTCTCTCTCCTCTCCCCCTTCTCTCTCTCCTCTCCACCCACCTTCTCTCTCACCTCCTCTCCCCCTTCTCTCTCTCCTCTCCCCCCCAATCTCTCTCTCTCTCCTCTCCCCCCCCTCTCTCTCTCCTCTCCCCCCCCTCTCTCTCTCTCCCTCTCCCCCCTCTCTACTCGCTCCTCTCCCCCCCCTCTCTCTCTCTCCTCTCCCCCTCTCTCTCTCTCTCCTCTCCTCTCCCCCTCTCTCTCCTACCCCCCCCTCCTCCTCTCCCACCCCCCTCACCCCCCCTCTCCTTCCCCCCCCCCTCTCTCCTCTCCTCCCCCCCCCCTCTCCTCTCCCCACCCCCCCCCCCCCCCTCTCCTCTCCCCTCTCTCCTCTCCCCTCCTCTCCCCCCCCTCTCTCCTCCCCTCCCCTCTCTCTCCTCCCCCCCCTCCTCTCTCCTCCACCCCCCCCCTCTCTCTCCTCTCTCCCCCCCCTCTCCCTCTCCTCCCCCCCCCACTCTCTCGACCCTCCCCCCCCCCCCTCTCTCTCCTCTCCCACCCCCCCCTCTCTCCTCTCCCCCCCCCTCCCTCCTTCCCCTCCCCCCCCTCTCCCTCCCCTCTCCTCCCCCCTCCTCCCCTCTCCTCCCCTCCCTCCCCTCTCCTCCCCCTCCTCCCCCTCCGCCCTCCCCTCTCCTCCCCTCTTCCCTCCCCGCCCCCTCTCCTCCCCTCCCTCCCTCCCTCCCCTCCCCCTCCCTCCCTCCCCTCGCCCTCCCCTCCCCCCCTCCCTCCCTCCCTCCCTCCCTCCCTCCCTCCCTCCCTCCCTCACCCTCTCCTGCCCCTCCCCTCTCCCGCACCCTCCCCTCCCTCCTCCCCTCCCCTTCCCCACCCTCCCCTCCCTCCCCTCCCTCCCTCCCTCCTCCCTCCCTCCCTCGCCCTCTCTCTCCCCTTCCCCTGATCCTCCCCTACTCCTCCCTTCCCCTCCCTCCCCCCCCTCCCCCTCCTCCCCTCTCCTCCCTACCTCTCCTCCCAACCAACAACCTTTCCTCCCCTCCCTCCCTCCTCTTCCTCCCCCTCTCCTCCCCCTCTCCTCCCTTCCCCTCCCTCTCCTCCCTTCCCTCCCCTCTCCTCCCTTCCCTCCCCTCCTCCCCACTCTCCTCCCCGGCCCCTTCCCTCCCCCCTCTCCTCCCCCTCTCCTCCCTTCCCTTTCCCTCCCCTCTCCTCCCCTCTCCTCCCTTCCCTTCCCTCCCATCCTCCTCCCTCTCTCTCCTTCCCTTCCCTCCCCTCTCCTCCCCCTCTCCTCCCTTCCCTCCCCCTCCCTTCCCCGCTCCCCTCCTTTCCTCCGCCCCTCCCTTCCCTCTTCCCCATCCCCCCCCCCCTTCTCTCTCTCCTCTCCTCTCTCCCTCTCCCCTCTCCCCCCCTCCTCGCCTCCCCTCTCCCCTCTCCCCCCCCCCCCCTCTCTCCCCCTCTCTCCCCCCCCCCTCTAAACAGGTGCGGCTCCGCTCCTCCCCTCTCTCTCCCCCCCCCTCTCTCTCTCTCCTCCCCCCCCTCTCTCTCCCCCCCCCCTCTCTCTTTCCCCTCTCCCTTCCCTTCCTCCCCTCTCCCCTCCTCCCTCCCCTCTTGTCTCCCCTCTCCTCCCTTCCCCTCTCCTCCCCTCCCTCCCTCTCCCTCTCCTCCCCTCCCTCCCTCCCCTCTCCCTCCCCTCCCTCCCTCCCCTCCTCTCCTCTCCTCCCTCACCCTCCCCCCCTCCCCTCTCCTCTCCTCCCTCCCCTCCTCCCCCCCTCCCCTCCTCCCTCCTCCTCTCTCCTCCCTCCCTCCTTCCCTCCCCTCCTCCTCTCCACCCCTCCCCTCTCCACTTCTCCCTCCCTCCCTCCCTCTCCCCCCTCCGTTCTCTCCCCCCTCTCCTCCCCCTCTCCTTCCCCCTCCCTTCCCCCTCTCCTCCCCCTCTCCTCCCTTCCCCCCTCGTCCCCTCCCCTTCCCCTCTCTTCCCCTTCCCGTCTCTTCCCCTCTCCTCCCCTTCCCCTCTCCTCCCCCTCCCTCCTCCTCCCCTCCCCCTCTCCTCCCCTCCCCTCCCCCCCTCCCTCCCCTCCCCCCCCCTCTCCTCCCTTCCCCTCCCCCTCCCCCCCCCTTCCCCCTCTCCCTCTCCTCCCTTCCTCTCTCCCTCTCCTCCCTTCCCCCTCTCCCTCTCCTCCCTTCCCCCTCTCCTCCCTTCCCCCAGATAAACTGTTTAAATTCTGTAAGTTGAATGGCTTTAGAGAAGACTGCAGATAAAGAGGTACAACTTTTATTTAGGAGGAGTCCTTTCATTTCTGTGTATCACCTGAGGCATATGAAAGGGTTTACAACCACTTTAACAATCAAAGGCTCCGCTGCACGTCTGTTAAAGCGTAGGACATTTCTCTGCATGTTGGTAAAGACTGCGATTTTGCGTGCGATTTTGACGACACGCAAAGGTCTGCAACTAGCTGAAAAGGAGGAGAGAGGTCCACTTGAAAGTCTTTTTGGCTGGACACACACTTTCATATCCATCTGAAATGTATTTCCTCCTTTCTACCCGCAGACCGGGCAACTGGTTCCTCATCTCCGACGTCCTGAAGAAGCTGAAGCTGTCCTCCCGGATATTCCAAGCTCGCTACCCGCACTTTGAAATCGCCAGCATGCAGAAGAAGGAGTTCACCCGCCAGGCGTTCACCAGTCAAATCCTCACGCCCTCGGAGGGGGTGGACCTCTGGCCTCAGGACAGTGGGGAAACCGTAGAGTTAATCAGGTATGAAGCGGAACTAATTCGACTCTTGGGCTCTGCGGTGGAATTCCAGTGTGCCAGCAGCTGACGAGCCAGGAAAGGGTTCTGAGACCTTTCAGCTGCTTTATAGGCAATAAAAACAAGAGGAGGAGGCCTTAGCGATGCCAGCACCGGCGAATGGATGTCTCGGTTTTAGCATTTCCCGACCTTCTTTCTGTAGAAGGACAATCTCTCCGCCGGGACATCGGAGAACTGTTTGGCTAGCCAAGATATGAAATTCAATGGCGACGGCCATGTGACTTCCTCGGCCACAACATTCTCCACCCGTAAGCCCATCTTGATACCTCCACCTCTTAAATGTGCTGAGCAAGCATCCAAAGCCTTTCCGTTTTTTTTTTGTTTTTTGTCTTTTTTTTCTTTTTCTTTTTTTTTTTTAATCTTCGGAGAAAAACAAAAAAGCTCAGATATTGCCGCAGTACAGCCCCGCCGATCAAGGCGGATCCATGGTGACTTGGTAAGGTCACTCGTAACAGGAGAGACAATCATGAAGGAACCCGAGATCGAAAGCCAACCTCAGCCAAGGAGGTCGTAGAACTTGGAAGCCTCGCTGTCCTTCTCTTAAAAAAAAAAAAAAAAAAAAAAAAAAAATGAAATCGCTGGGCTTCATCGTAAGTTATTTCAGAGCCAAGGATGGAGCTGGAAGATCGCCGCAAGCTACCTAACTTTTAGTAGTCACCTGGCCTCCGAGCCTCTCTACGAATGAAATCCCAAGCATCCAACGTGCTGGTCTACTGATGAAATACGAAGCATGGCAGAACTCTATGGGTCTGTTAGGACAACAGAGCAAGCCCCTCCGCGCCTGCGATCCAGGGGGGGCAAAAAAAAAAAAAAAGGCGTACAGTCTAAAAAAAAAAAAAAAAAAAAACCGCAAGCGCCGCATTCCTTCCTGCAGGCCAAGGCCTTCACCACTAAGACGCTTCAGGCCCTGCTCTCTACCAAGGCGAAAATCCATAGGCGGCTACCGACCGGGGAGAAGGTTTAAATGTGTGAATGTGCTCAGGGCTATTCTTCCCGCCTAAAAACAAAAAACAAACAAAAAAAAAAATCTAATGCTTCTTACTTTTTATAGTAAAATGCTAATTTTAAAGCAATTTGGAGTGAAAGGTTAAAAAAGAAAAAAAAAAAAAAAAAAAGAAAAAAAAAGCGTGTGACTTTTCACTTCCTCAAAGCAAAGGAAGCCGACGAGAAAAAAAAACCACAAAAGGCCCTCATGGCGGGGCAGGCTGTGTGTCGCTCCGCGTGAACCACACAGCACTTTAAAAATTCTTTTTTGAACTGAGAAATTTCTTTTTATTGTAAATGGTACAGTTTTATTGTACGGGTGCTAAAAAAACAAAAAATACAACTTAAAAAAAAAAAAAAACAAAAAAAAAAAAACTATTTATTTCGATGGTTCGGACAATCTGTTATTTCGCAGTAGAACTGGGAATGGGGGACGTTGTCGGGAAAAGAACGCAGTTCTTGCGAACACTTCTATTTATTTTACGTCTGTATGGGGGGGGGGGGGACTTAAAGGGTTACCTCACCTTTTCAGAAAGAAAATGAAAAGGTGAAAAAAGTACCATCCTCACCCATCCCCCAGTGTCTCCATTGCACTTACCTCTGTGAGTGATGAACTGTCAGTGATCTCACTAATCAGGATCTGATAGCTCCCTACTCTTCTCCCGCTGATTCTGCAGTGCTGCCGGGATCAGTCGGAGCAATGCTCTGCGCTGGCGCTGTCCTTGACAGCATGGTTGCAGTACTGGAGGCGCACAATTAAGCATGCACCAGCACAAAACTAGTATGAACTTGAAAGCTAATCCATAGGGATCAGGAAAGAACTGTCAAAAGACCTGTGTAACAAGGTAATGATGGAAAAGGAAATAAAAAGTTATCAAAAGCCTTGAATATGCCAGTCAGTGCTGTTCAGTCACTTATTAAGAAGTGGTAAGTTTGGGGATCTCTTGATGCCAAGGTCCAGTAGACCAAGAAAGATTGCAGCCACAATTCGCTTGTTTCTGGCAACTCGACCATGCAGCTCATTTTTGTTCAATTATTATATTATTATACAGTATTTATATAGCACCAGAAGATTTGCTCAGCGCTGTTACACTTTATAGTTTGTGGGGATCTCTTGATGCCAAGGGAGACAGTACACAATTGGATTGTTTCTGGCAACTCGACCATGCAGCTCATTTTTGTTCATAATTATTATACATATAGCACCAGAAGATTTGCTCAGCGCTGTACATTATAGTGGGAGACAGTACACGAGACAGTAAAGTAACAATACAGTGCGAAAGTAACAATACAATGCGATACACGAGGGGTTCGAGGGCCCTGCTTCTTGGAGCTTACAATCTAGGAGGGAGTATCGTTATATTGTGCTCCTTGAAGCAACCACACTGTCTTTTTGTTGTCTGGGATACAAAGAAAAACCCCACAGGTAACTGGGCTTTTTTGTGGCATTGGAGCAGTAAAGGCTTCTTTCTGGCAACTCGACCATGCAGCTCTTTTTTGTTCAACTGTCGTTGTATTGTGCTCCTTGAAACAACCACACTGTCTTTTTGCTGTCTGGTATACAAAGAAAAACCGGACAGGTAAACCACAGGAGAAATACAGACAGCAAAAAGACAGTGTGGTTGTTTCAAGGAGCACAATACAACGATAGTTGAACAAAAAAGAGCTGCATGGTCGAGTTTCCAGAAAGAAGCCTTTACTGCACCAATGCCACAAAAAAGTCCTGGAAGTGTGCCAGGGAGTTCTTGGGCATATTGTAACTGGGCTTTTTTGTGGCATTGGAGCAGTAAAGGCTTCTTTCTGGCAACTCGACCATGCAACTCATTTTAAGTATCGTTGTATTGTGCTCCTTGAAGCAACCACACTGTCTGTTTGCTGTCTGGGATACAAACAAAAACCCGACAGGTAACCTCAGGAGAAATACAGACAGCAAAAAGACAGTGTGGTTGTTTCAAGGAGCACAGTACAACAATACTTGAACAAAAATGAGCTGCATGGTCGAGCTGCCAGAAAGAAGCCTTTACTGCACCAATGCCACAAAAAAGTCCTGGAAGTGTGCCAGGGTGGTCTTGGGCATATTGTAACCGGGCTTTTTTGTGGCATTGGAGCAGTGAAGGCTTCTTTCTGGCAACTCGACCATGCAGCTCATTTTTGTTCAAGTATCGTTGTATTGTGCTCCTTGAAACAACTGCACTGTGTTTTTGCTGTCTGTATTTCTCCTGAGGTTACCTGTGGGGTTTTTCTTTGTATCCCAGACAGCAAAAAGACAGCGTGGTTGTTTCAAGGAGCACAATACGATACTTGGACCAAAAATGAGCTGCATGGTCGAGTTGCCAGAAAGAAGCCTTTACTGCTCCAATGCCACAAAAAAGCCTGGTTACAATATGCCCGAAAAGACCCTGACACACCTCACCGGGCTTTTTTGTAGCATTGGCGCAAAAAAGGCTTTTTTCTGGCAACTCGACCATGCAGCTCATTTTGTTCAAATATTGTTGGATTGTGCTACTTAAAAACAACGTGGAGGTTACCTGTGGGGTTTTTCTTTGTATCCCTAGCAATTATTCTGCCAGGTGTGGCTGCGGTCTTTCTTGCTCTGCCTGACCTTGGTTTGATAGCAAGAGATCCCAGAACTTTCCGCTTCTTGAGTATGCCAGTCAGTACGGTTCAATCACTCAAGGCTTTGGATATCAATATTCTTTTTCATCTTATTAAAGTTCCATTACCTTGTTACGCAGGTCTTTTGACAGTTCTTTTCTGCTCCCCATGGCTCAGGATCTAGCCTGCTCAGTGCATCCATATGAGAACTTGCACACTCATTGACTATTTATACACAATGATTGCAATTTAAAAAAAACACAGATGTGGGAATTTAACCTTTTAATTGGCATTTTAACCCGTGTGTGTCACCTTGTGTGTCTGTCCCAAGGATGAACCTTCCAGGGGAGGGATCCCGGCCATTGGGGTGATTTTTATTACGATTTAAAAAGGAGTCAAACAACTCTGTGATGATAAATGGCTTCCTATGAACACTAGCCTTCAATAAAACACTGTTTTGGGGGCGTGGTCAGTCATCTTTCCAATATCAATGTCAACATTTCAAGATTTCTGGGGGGGGGCAAACGTTTGACACAACTCCATATGTGTACAGCTGGCGAGAAGCTGGAAAAAAAATACCTAAAGAAACCCACTGAACTTTTAACTTCCTGTTTGAGGAGTTCCTGTCTCCCCATCTCCAACATAGAGGGGTGTGCTCTGCAGTCCAGCCGGGGAGAAGTCAGGCCTGGCTGACAGCGCTGCTTGGAATTTCAATACAGTGTTGCCAGCCCTGCCTGACTTCTCCTGTTCTGTAGTCCAGCCTGGGAGAAGTCAGGTCGGACTGACAACTCTGTACTGAAATCCTAAGTAGCATTGTGAGACCTGCCCAATTCTCCCCTTCTGGACTACAGGACACACCCCTCTATGTTGGAGATGAGGAGAGGGGTTGGTGCTCTGTAGTCCAGAAGGGGAGAATTGGGCAGGTTTCACAATGCTGCTTAGGATTTCAGTGCAGAGTTGTCATCCGGACCTGACTTCTCCCAAGCTGGATTACAGAACACACACCCCTATGCAGGAGATGAGGAGAGGGGTCGGTGCTCTGTAGTTCAGAAGGGGAGAATTGTCAGGTCTCACAATGCTTCTTAGGATTTCAGTGCATAGTTGTCAGCCCGGCCTGACTTCTCCCTGGCTGGACTACAGAACACACCCCTCGCTCGGGCTGACAACTTTGCACTGAAATCCTAAGCAGCATTGTGAAAACTGCCCAATTCTCCCCTTCTGGACTACAGCACACACCCCTCTATACAGGAGATGAGGAGAGGGGTCGGTGCTCTGTAGTCCAGAAGGGGAGAATTGGGCAGGTCTCACAATGCTTCTTAGGATTTCAGTGCATAGTTGTCAGCCCGGCCTGACTTCTCCCTGGCTGGACTACAGAACACACCCCTCGCTCGGGCTGACAACTTTGCACTGAAATCCTAAGCAGCATTGTGA